CAAGTATTGCCAAAAAATCCGAGATCCGGGAAGGTTATAGGCATAGAGAAAAATCGGCAGTACTGGAAAAGGGGGTATGGCACCTCCCATACTAACTAAAATGTTCATATTGTATGTTGGCACCTCCCATACTAACCAAAATTTTCATATTGTATATCTGTTAAAATATTTGTGGTAGAGTACTGGAACTTGGTGTAGGGATAAATGAAATTAATTCCATAGTCATGGGAAAATATGGGCGGAATTGGAAAAGGGAGAGGAATATTTAATCAGCTATAACTTCGGAACCGTAAGTTGCATGAACTTGAAATTTGGTATGCAGACATATCTATGGTACATGTTTTTAGTAATGTATATATATAAATGAGTTGTAAGAGGGGGCGCGACACATTTCATAGGCGTGGAATTTTGAATCAGCCATAACTTCGGAACGATAAGTCACATAAACTTGAAACTTGGTACATAGGTGCTTATAGTAAGGTATACATAAATGAGTTTTTAAAGGGGGCGTAGCATGAACCAAAAAGACAAGATCACGCGGGTAGGAGAGTAGCCCGTTAGAATCGATTTTGACATTAGCCGTTTGTTTACATTTCTCCGTTGTTTACAATTTGGTGGTGGCTTTTTACTGCAATTTTCTTCATTTTCGCTTGTGACAACGTGTGTATACATAAGATAAAGAATAATTTAACACAACGGCATGATTTATAGAAGAATTTGCATAATAAAAACGATTTTTCATGCGTTCAACAATTTCGCGGTTTTCTCCGTTCTCTTCGTTGTTTACTTCTTACAACAAAGATGGCGTCGGGATTTCGGCAGCTAGAAAATAACTTTTTTCGTTCTTTCCTTCCCGCGTGATCTTGTGTCTTTCGTTCATGGGGGGCGTAGCGCATAACACAGGCATTGAATTTTGTATCAGCCATAACTTCGGAACAATTTACATGGCCCCCTTAATTCTTTCTGATATGCCTTTCGAATTTACAGGACTCAGTTTCCAGTTCGCTTAGCTTTTGCAATGACAATAAACAATAATTCCTTAAAGCAAACCCCAAAACTTTATCGAAAATAAAATCTATGATAATTGCATTGGAAAATGCATTTATGTTTATAGAG